AGAGAGAGATTAATTTTCTAACTATACAATTTTAACGATTTTAGAAAATTATCTTTTATTTAAAAACAAGTCTCTCTCTCTCTCTGTCTTAAATAAAAGCTAATTTTATAAAATCGTTAAAATTTTATAATTAAATATCAACCTTATTAAATATAAACTGCTTTAAATTATTCAGTATAATATTGCCTTCTTGCGCCCATCCATTTTAGGGCCAATCCTTAAGAACGCACTATAAAACAAAATCCCTCTATTTACGCTATTACCTCAACTTGTGCTTCTGTTTTTATATTTTGTAATCTGGCAATCTTATTACGAATGTATTTTAAATCATTCTTGAAAATTTTTCTGTTCACGTAAGTTCCTTTGAATTTGTTACTCGCCTTATAGAATTCGCTTTATGTCGAGTTCTGTTTTTTCTTTGCAATTTATTTTCTGTTTTTTAAGTGATATTTATTACTTAATGTGTTCTATTCGATTTTGTTTAAAAAAATGTACTTAGGAAGTTAAAAGCTCCTTTAAATTTTCGATACCACTATAATTTAAAAAAGCATTCTGATATAATTGCTAGCCTGTAAAATTACTTCAAAATCGATGGTACAAAAATTTATTAACTTCTCTTCCTTGTCTCGATCAATTCGAATTTTGTAGGAAGTAAGTATAACATCATATCCAAAAGCTTTGAGCATGATCAAATTCTACTAGCAGTTGTGTCATGTAAAATATTCCAAAATATTTACTGCAAAGAAAGAATGGTTACATATAATTAGCATAAATGTGTTCCCATATTTTTGTCTAACACCTGTATATGCCAACTCTTAAGTATTTTACCAGAAGTTTTAAATTTTACATTTAAAGTATTTGAAAAATTTATACTTCCTTTTTTTTTTGAATTCATAAATTTAGTTTAAAATGATTTTGGCTGCCACTACAGATAAAATTAAAAAATAACGGTTGTGCATAGTTCCTATATTTGAAATTATTAAGATTTCCATTTTCCCTTATTCAAAAAATCACCGGCAACACGCGTTAGTTCTTACGTGATCGTAATTAGACAAAATTCTGAGTAAACATGCAAACATCACATCAATAATAAATAGGAATGTACCGACAATACTTCGATCCGTTATCCGATATCGTTATCTAAATGAAACAAGCAATAAACAACTGCTGCCTATAAGCAATAGTAGAAAGAGTAGACACAGAATGTCAATTGATGTCAGTGTGTCGGATTTTGAAGACTTCAGTTCCTTAGTTTTGAAAAATAAAATACTAGAATATTTCATAATATATATCTCATATTTTCATTTTTTTTTCTTATAGTATATAATTAACTTGCTTTCTAAGTGCAGAGATGCCAACTGCTCCGGACATGCCAAAATAATTTTAAAAAATTTAAATAACTAAGTAAATGTCGCGAATATAAAGTGGTGAATTACATAAGCCTACGAATTATTTAGAAATAGGTGGTGGATAAATTGAATTTACTAACTAAATTGAATTTATTAAACCAAGAAACACAATTGATAAACTATAAAATATATATTTGCTGTCTGGAGCAAGTTGGCATCTCTGTAAGTGCTGTTATATGTATTCGTTCATGCGTCAAATTGACGCGTGTTCGTAGAGATAGGTATATAAGAAACGTCCGTAAACCTACTGTTACAGAGCAGAGCATTCACCTATTTTGAATTTTACATACGATAAAGTGAAAACGATGGGTTTGGGTTTTTAGACGTTAAGATAGCTGCAAGATTTTCAAAAAAAAATTTCCTTTTTATAACAACTTTTAAAGCGCTCAGATATACTGGTAAAGAGTATAACTTCATATCAAGTTTACTAAACAAGGAATCATAGATTAATACATAAAATTTGCTACCACTGGAAGAAATTTTAATGCAATACATAGAAAGTTGGCAAATCTGTATCCGGTTAACCTCTTCGAGACGGGTGAGTCATATATCATACCTGCCAACTCTTCCGGATTTTCCGGAAGATTTTATTTTCATATTTAAAGTGGTAGCAATACTCATGTTATTTCAATTAACTTTTTGAATTACAATGATAATTATAAATGAGATTGACCACCACTGCATATAAATAATTACAATAAATATATGAAAGCATAATAATCCTTGCGCAAGCGAATTTCAACGAGACTAAAATAGAAATATATTTTTGAGTCAGATTGTTTTTCGTTTATTGTTTTACAACCACTCTGAAAATCCGTTCTCGGAAAGAGTGAAAGTTGGCAGGTATGATATATGCATTCTCAGGGTAGCGATAATGAGGCTAAGAAAAGATATGTCTGGTAGCAAAACTATTTTTATAGCAGCTTATTTGTGGGCAGGGTAATGATGATTTGCCCTTCAATTGAATCTATATGAACTTTAAAATTATTTGTAATTAGTGGCTCATGTTACCAAACACAGAATCATAATAAATTTTACACGCATTAGAAAAAATTGCCCACAGAGCTAAGCGAATTGGCATCCCTGGGTTGATAAGTGTTCTTCAAAATATTGAAAAGTGTGCAATTTTAGAGACACCTGAGTCATTACAAAAACTTATTTGTATTTTACTTAGTTATATTTTAATTTTTCGAAAACAAGCCATGGTGAAATGAATTTTAACCAGCTCTTACCCTTTTTTGCAGAGATATAAATATATTGGCTATCAGTCCTAGTTTGAATTGTAATGTGTTGAAAAATTCTAGCTTATTTTAGGAAACAAACCAAATTTTTCCTAAAAGAAGTTTTAAAAATGCCTGGGAGTTTTTAAAATAATCTTCAACATTATATTCTTATATGTAACCACTCTGTATGCATCATCCAGAACTATTTTTCAGAATTTCTAATTTTCTTAGTTAATTAATTAAAAATTGAATTTATGTCTTTTATTTAACTTCGAATCTTTAATAGAATTGAAAATAAACTTATGTTACGCTAGTCATGATGCTTATAGGATATTTTGAAATTCATCGTGTTAAAGTTAAACACCTGAAGTTATTAAAGTGCGACGTATTTGTATTACAACTGTTATACTGCATAAACTATTCTTTAATTAAAATTTAAAGATGAATGGGTGTTTTTTTCCTTCAATTTTAATGGTTTTTCATGTGTCTTAACAACTCTGAGATATATTTGTCACAAGGAATCAAATGATAAAAAAAAATTTCAATCCTATTCATAGTTAGCATTTTTATTACAAGGTTATAACACTCTGAGTGTCATTCCCCTATTAATCCCTTGACCTATCATTTCTTGATACAGAAATGACCTTTGATTGCATTGTAAACAACAACTCGTAACGCAGAGATGCCAACTTGCTCCGGACAGCAAATATATATTTTAAAGTGGTAGTTTATTAATTGTGATTTAAGTTTTAATAAATTCAATTTAGCAGATTTTTATCCAGCACTATTTCTAAATAATTCGTAGGATTATATAATTCACCACTTTAAAATAATATTGCCATGCTATACCCTCTAAAAACCAAGCAAAACTAGTAAAATATTTGCAAAATTTACTTTGTAGTTATTTACCGTATTTTTAATTATTTTGGCGTGTCCGGAGCAGTTGGCATCTCTGGTAACGGAATGTTGACAGAGGTGCCTCCTATAACTGATAGCCTCTACACGGTTTCTTATAGGTAGTCCGATCAGACCACTATGCGGGTAAACCAACTAGAGAAAGAACCATTTAATATGATATCTACTAAAAATTAGAAAGTGGTAACAAATATATGGCGAAATGTTTTTTAAATTTATGAATATAATTGGTTTGTTTTATTTACTTGTCAACCACTACAGATTCAATTCTCAGATAAATATGATAAATTTCTCTCAAGTACTTTTAAAATAGAATTTGGGTTCATGCGCACAAGTGGTTCGCTTTTTAAATGTTCTGAGCAGACTACTTATAAGAAACCGTGTGGAGGCTTTCTGATGTAGGAGGTGATGTCCGGACACACCAAAATAATTTTAAAAAAACGGTAAATAACTACAAACTACATTTTGCAAATATCTTACTATTTTTGCATGCTTTTTAAAAGGTACAGCATTACATCACTACCATACCTGCCAACTTTTAATCCCTTCCATTATGATTTTTCCCAGTGGTATTAAAATGGATTAAAAATTTCAATTTTAAGCAAAAAAGTACGTTGTATTTGAAAAAGCTTAAGCTGCGTACCCTGATAGTAACACATATTAATATATATATGCTTAATTTTTTTAAGAATAGTGGTAATGAAAATCATTTAAAAATTTAGTTTATAAATTGAAAAATAGTATATATTTACTACCACTTTAAATATAAAAATAAAATTTTACGCCAAAAGCGTAAAAGTTGGCAGGTATGCTACTATAAAGGTGTGAATTATATAAGCCTTTCTATTATTTGGAAATAGTGGTGGATAAAAGTCTACTAAATTGAAATTATTAAACCAAGATTCACAATTAATAAACTACCGCTTAAAAATATTTATTTACTGTCCGGAGCAAGCAGAGATGCCAACTGCTCCGGACACGCCAAAATAATTAAAACAAAACGGTAAATAACTACAAAGTAATTTTTGCAAATGCTTGACTATTTTTGCTTGCTTTTTAAAAGGTAAAGCATAACATAATTACTATAAAGTGGTGAATTATATAAGCCTACGAATTGTTTAGAAATAGTGGTGGATAAAAATCTTCTAAATTGAATTTATTAAACCAAGAATCACAATTGATAAACTGCCACTTTAAAATGTATATTCGTTGTCCGGAACAAGTTGGCATCTCTGTGTTGAAGACGTCTGAGACACGTCAATTATTATTTTGACATAGGAAGCAAATGACGTCTCCCAGACGTCTTCGTGTATCAAAAGGTTAAAAGATTTTTTTCATTGTTCAACGTGATTTGTATCAAAATCTTGTATTCTAACTTTTGCAATTTTAATTATTTACGAAACAGATAAACTTTGACCCAAGAAGTGCCGTGTTTGGAAACAATACAAAATACTATATTTTTATAAAGAGTTTTATTTATGTACTATAGCATTGGTTTTATCTTTTGAATGTTTGGAATGTTATCCTCTAATTAAGAGTATCCTCCATTTCTGTTTCGTTGAATGCCTTGTTGCGATGCTTGATTTCTCTGATTGTTATTAAGATTTCCTTGACCATAGTTTACATTGTAGCCATCTTGACTGCTACCTTGAGATGTATCTCCACCTTGATTTCCTATAAAAGCGCTCCAAAAAATTAAGCATTGAAATACTTCGAATTGCGAAAAATATTTAACGGTTTCATTTTATTTCTTATCTTACACCTTAAGATTAACTTGCACAACCAACGCATTCTATAACTGAAAGCCTCCACACGATTTCTAATGGGTATTCCGATCAGACCACTATAACGATGAACCAAAGTAGTATTCAGGGTTCATGTCCGCGAAGCGGACAATTGACTGTTTTATATGTATCGATGCCCTTGGGCGACTGGAATTTGGCAGTGCAGGGTAAACCAATTTACGAAAGAGCCCTTTGATAGAAAATCTAGTAAAAATAAGAAAGTGGTCGCAAATATAGGTCTAAATTTTTTTTAAATTAATGAATATAATTGATTTGTCTTATTTGCTTGTCAACCACTACAGATTCAGTTCTCAAATATATATGATGAATTTCTCTACTAATCAAATAGAAATTGGCTTCAAGCGCCCAAGTGGCTCACTCTTTAAATAGTCAGCGTAGACTACATTTTAAAGACCATTTGAAGGCTCTTTAATGTAAGAGGTGATTTTTCAACTTTTGATTCTTATGCTAAGAGAAACTTGAAATAAACTTTTATTTTAAATTTTATCGAACATTGTAAATATTATTTGAAATTCGTAATATATATACATTCCCTCTATAAGTTCGAAGCAAAGAAAAAGGTTTTCTATCTGTATAATTTGTGGTAACCGGGAAATATAAACTTAACTAATGAAGCAAAATACCAACAGCTTCCAACTTAACAGTCTTGAAGTAAAGTTAATCTGCAGTCTTTTTTAGTTGTTTTTTATTATTATATTATTATTTAGTTTAAGTCGAGTATCAACTAGAATATAATTTCATGCCATTCCGCAATGTATTGTATTAATAAAACTATTACAACATGTACGAACGTAAATAAAACCTTTTTAACCTATTCTAAACGGACGAGTCCTATATGCATTCTCAGAGTGTCGATAATCAGGGTAAAAAAGATAAAACAGGTAGCCAAATTATTTTCATAGCAGTTTATTTATGGGCGGGGTAGTAATAGTTTGCTTTATTTAATTCACCACTACTTAGTTCGAATTAAAAATTGCATAGTTACACTTCTAACACATGAGGGTTGGATGTGTTAGATTTAAAGGGAAAGCAAAAATGAGTCTGTTAAATTAGCTACCGCTTTTTATTTTTTACCGTCCCGATTCTGATTCCGTACGAATACTTTTATGACTCGCCCGTCCCGAAAAGGTTAAAATCTGGTTGATATTTACACAGAAAAGAAACAACTCGTAATTGTTATTGTTATACTAACTTTACTCGGACTATATTTAAAACTGATAAAGTAATTAAATATTAAAAGCATTATTTAGAAACACATAACAGCTTCAGCAAAGAAATTAATGTCTATAAAATGATTAACCTAATGAATAAGTTTTTTTCTCTTTTTTTGAATTAATACTATCTACTTATTTTTACCTTGATACACACTGACAACAGGTAATAACGGTGCGCTATATGCAATATTTATCGTATAGTAAAATTCCTACTGTCCTAAACAGTTTTAAAATTGCAACCAAAGTCCTCAAAACACAAGCTCCTAAATTTTTCCCATGGTTTAAATCTGCTTCAACCTTAACTTGGTTATAAATTAAAACATACTCGGTTAAATAAATTCTCATTGAAATTGATAGTAAGGTATTTAAGTAGAAATAAAACTTTTTCACTTATCTAATGATATAAATTTTCTGAATATAACAACACATGCATAAGAAAAATGTAACAAAAAATTATATTACCTTGATTTACAGGTCTTCCTGAAAAAGAAGGAAAATCAGCTTTTAAGTCTTACTAGCAATTAATTATTCATAGTAATTCGACATAGCATTCTTATGTGGATTGTTATTAGAAAAATAATTTATGAAATAATTTTTGGACCTATTAGCATCGGATTTAATTATATAAAAACTAAGAGGGGACAACCAAATTAAAAACTGGTTGTAAGCTTTTGAATAAGGGAGATTGATGCTATTTTGCTTAGTCGATTAGTTAAAAAATCAAATTTGATATTTATCTACAATTTTGTTTATATGATTTGTTTATATGTGGTAATTACATAAATGCTTTACTTCTTCCTGAAACAGACTTATAGCATCGTACTTTTGCCACACTTTTCATTCGTTAGAAATTAATGTATGACTAGTGACTAGTCATACATTTAAATTGCATCACCAATGGCATCATTTGACAAGTGAGACTAGTAGTCTCACTTGTCAAATGATGCCATTGGTTAAAAACTCTTACACTCTTTTTAATGTACGATTTGCTGTTTTCTGCTTAGAAACTAAAATTTATCTCACCAAGTTTCATGATTTGTAGCAATATTCAGGAACAAAATACTATGAAAAATGCAAACAATGTTTTTTGTGGCACGTGAGCTCATTTCAACTGAGATATTTGCACGGAATCTGCTTTAGGAATGAGCCACATTTTTTCTACAAATGATGCTTATTTTGAAAACTTTTACGAAATTTCTCCCGTTGTTAATTCAATCTCTTGATGAATTTCGCTAGTAATTTTAATGCCTTGAGAACTAATTGTCTGGTGTTAAAAACAAAACACAACAGAACTATATTTTTATCTACTTTAGATTTTTAAATTATTTTTTTTAAATATTAAATATTTTGGGAAACTTGAAATTAAAAACTGGTAAAAATTTCATTGTTTTTCAATGGGAGATATTTTTTATAATTTCTGCATTGAAAAATAAATATAATATTATTATTAAAAATTTACATAATAGACTGTTAGATTTTCTAATAAAAATAATATAAACTTATAGTTAAAAATGTTTCGTTTGTAGTGATTAAAGTAAGTTTTAAAAACATCTGAAATTTTACTTCGTTGTGCAAATGCTTACTGAAATGTTAAACAATTACTTTAGTTTTCAGCTGCGTTTAAAAAAAACGGTTCGAAATTCCATTGATTAATATTTTAGTGTAGCAATTTTCTATTTTTATTATTGAGAGGAGAATACACACTATAACTTATATAACAATCAAACAATTTCCTTTAAATTAAGTTTAAATTATTTTCCCCACAACAACATCTATACACGTTTTAATAATAAATGTACAGCATGAGAAAACTTTATGAAAAATGAATTATCGAAATTCTAACCTCCATATCCACGTCCACCTCCATATCCACGTCCACCTCCGTAACCACGGCCACCTCTTGCTGAAAATAAAATATTGAGCTCTATTTAAACTATTTTACTCTACTGAAGATCTTCAAGGTTTCGTTTTTAATAAAATATTTAATAATTCATTATATTTATCTATAAATATTACTTAATTATATTAACTTCTAGATTCCCCTGTAATGAATAGGCTGATTTAAAAAAATTAAATGCTAATTACACAATTATTGATAGTGCTTTTATTGCATTCATGACTTGAAACTAATGAAAAAATCTGTTTGTAATCTCTTGAAAATTAAAAATGTTTTACACAATTTTCAAAGTAGTTTTTGTACTTTTCAAAAGAAACTCAAAACGATAAGGGGATTTCTGCAAATTTTATCTGGTATCATAAGACAATATTAAATAACAAATGATAATACCATTCAATAAATGATCATGCACCGAGATCAGATTCCGTAAGGAAAGAAAACATGTGAAAGAAAAATAACTATTATGGGAATGATTTCCAACAATGCTGGTGTCACTTTTAATAAATCTTGTTTAAAAGTACAAAATGAAATTTGTTGAAAACCCCTTGTCATTTTGAGTTTTCTTTCAAAAACTACTTAGAAAATTGCTTGAAACCTTTTAAATTTCTAAGATATTCAAATTGGACCTTCTTTATTAGTTGTCAAATATGATTCGATGCCAAATTAAGAAAAAATAAATTTAAATTTTTCTCGCGCATGGGCTGTATAAAAGAACTACTTTAATTACTCATACTTTACGCAGATTTAAACAAAATTTCCTCAAATTTTAAAGCAAAAATTTTTTAACTTATTTTAAATTGCTCAAAAAAATTTATTTAATTTTATTGAGTATTTTTAAAACTATAGCGGAAAAAATTAACAAAAAATACGTTTTTTTATAAAAATGTTCATATCTCCATAAATATTTAAGCTCGATTTATAAATATTTTGTGCATTTTATGCATATAATGACCAAAATAATTGTTGCAAATTTTAAATTTATTGCTACAATTTTCAGCATAGGGTGATCAAATACATAATTTTCGTCTTAAAATTTATCGTCGAACATCAAACCTCTAAAAGTTTTAAACTTTATTGATAAGTATGAGAAATCTTGCAACACCTAAATATTTCAAAATTTATGACATGATTCTCGGAGTATGTTTTGAGAAAAGATTTAAAAAAATTTGTTAGAATTGTTTCCATTATTCTGTCCAACCTCTGTAGTTGCCAACATTTACGTTTTTTACTCTTTTGTTGCCCTTTGTTTTAAATATTTCATGTTATTAAATTCTTTGAATTATAATAATTGCCAATAATCTTATTAAATTATACAAATTACTGTTTGTTTCATAAATCTGATACTAATTAACTATTGTTATCCTAATTGGCATTTTATTCCACCGTCATTTTTAGTATGAATAAACAATTGTTGTGAAGCGGTGTGTTCCCTTTCATTTCTTTAAATAAAGAAAAGAACGAAATTATTTGCGTTTCTTGAATGACAGAACATAAATTTCAACCGTCTACTATCCATCGATCCGTATCCGTGTTCAACTATTCGTTGATCTAATCACATAAAATTAAATTGATTTCTTTTTTTACTATTGAACCAATTAGAAAATAATTTTGATGATTACATAGAAGCAAAAGTCATGTATGATAATGTTATCAAAAATTTATTTTAAAATAAAAAACTTATTTCTTATTAAAATGTCATAAAAATGATTTTAAAATTTCTCATCTGCGGATCTGACAGATCTGCAACAATTTTATTCAAAATAGGAACTTCTTTGCTTTATTAGGTATTTTTCAACTAATTTTTTTATATAAACATCAAACAAATTATTTAAACATATTCAAAAGTGAACATTTTTCAGTCAATATTATCTTTAAAATTCAAAGCCGGTTTCCTCAATTCAGTTCTCAAAATTCTAAAATTCAAGTTCACACTCAATAATATAAAAAAAGTATTCCTTACCAGGACCATTGTAGTTATTATATTGTGCTGCAAAAAAATAATAAATAAGAATATTATTTAGCGAAATCAAATGCAATATTACAAATGACCACAAAATATAACATTTTTGATTTTAAAAAAATTATAATTACTATGATGCAAATAATATTTTTATATACAAATATACATGTGCTTTTACACTTCAAAAATATTAGTAATGCATTGATTCCTTAGATCATTAAAAGAAAATATAAATAATGCCCTTGCATATTTTGGAATTATTCACAATTTTAACATAAGAAAGTGAACTAGCTATGTACCTCAAAGCGTTGCAAACTCATTTCTGGCGAGATAACTAATTTGTCCCTAGCGTCCTTTTAAAAAGCTGGTTCCTCTTTACAAAAATGAAAAAAGCGGTGGCACAAACGATTTATTATTTCAACATATTTTACGGATAAGAGGCTTCAATTCTAATTCTTAAGAAGTTTCTAATTCTTACAAAATTTAAATATTTTTTCACTGAATACTAAAGTATTTTAATATTTTAATGCTATTAAAATTGTATAAGCTCATAATCTGCAGGAAGATTTTAAAATTTCATAATTCAGTGATAGATTATCTTAAGCCTCTTAATTCCGACAAATGTGTATAAAAGTTTTCAAAATTTTTCTTGGCAATACATCATCGTGAACTCAAATTTTTCATATTTTTTTATTAACACTTTTCAATTATTTCCATTCCATATCTAAAATACACTTTACGTAAATTTATGCATTACATCTTGTAATTACATTTCAAAAATCATAATGAGTTCAAGAAAATTTTAGTATTCTAGTAAAACTAGAAACGAATTCGGCTTAGCAAGTTTTTGTTTACCTCTGTACGCAGACGGACGGAGGAAGAGAAAATAAATTATAGATTGCTTAAAATTTTAAGTACAATAAATAAAATAAGTTTAGCAATTTCAAAATATTTTTTTGTATACTTCAGGTTTTGATAAAACAATTTAATATTTGAACTAATTTAAATTATTTCTAAACATAATTATTAATTAGTTGCTATTTTTTTACTTATAATATTAAAAAAAGTTTAGCTTAGAATGAAAATAATATTCTTAAAAATAAAGTTTTTTTTTATTTGAAAATTATTTATTTTACCGTCTGAGCATGCAGTGAGAACAGCTACAACAAAAACCATCAAGCAAATTTTCATGAAGGTGTTCATTTTTATAATGTAGGTTAAATACTTTGACTAACAGTTAGTTTGACAAAATAAGTTAAATTGTAAATCTGGTTTCTGCGCGAGTACTTTTATACCATTCTGCTTTTACATAAACATGAAATATCTCTTTACAAATATAATATTTCACCATTCATAATTATTTTTCTTTAAATTAAATATATTTAGAATAAAGCAGATGTTTATTCAGTAAAGTGGGTAAATGATAACTTCAATGACGGTTAAAACTATAAAACTCAGATTGCAAAAATTTGAAGCTGAAATTGCGTTGAAAATAGTATTATTTGGAGGAATATTGTGAAATACATTTTAATTTGCCAACTGCAGCTTTCATTCAAAGAGAAGCTGTAAAAATAAAATTCTCTAACATGACCTTTGAAATACATTTTTACGAGCAGATCATGATTTCAGTTATACTTGTTCCGATTTCAGTCGCAAAATATATTTTATGCGAATAAATAATGAAGTATTTCAGACTCATACATAATTTTCAAGTTTGTCATCCAAACATGTAATTAATCTAAATATTATATTATCGTTCTAATGTTAAGAAAAGACTTCACATTCTGGGCTAAAATGATTGATATAAATTTATGTCAAGAGAAATTTTGAAGCTTTTATTTAATAAAGTGTACGTTCCAGTACTACAGTCTCACAAGAACAGGTCAAAATTTGGAAACTTCAACTAAGGAAGGGACTTATTATATTATTAATTAATATATATTTTAAGCGTTTATTTTATATATATATATATNTCAAGTTGACACTTTGTAATTAAAATTTTATATATATATATATATATATAAATAAAAACTTTCGTTTTTTAAAAGATTTCAGAATTAAGTATAATTTTCAAGGAATATAAAACTTTTCTATGAAGGATCGTACACATCTAGATCTTGTAATAATGTTAAGATGAAAAATTATATTTCATTTCAACTTTCTATGTGATATTAGGAAATATACAGAATATCTTTTCATTGTATAGAATATACGTGTAAAATATTTTAATAAATCTAAGTAAATATATCTAGATCAAGATTTAGAGTATTTGATCTTTAACCCTTTAACGCAGAATTTTCAATTACATATTTTTAATACCTATTTCTATTTTGTACTTATTTAGGTAAAAATAGGCTTAAAATATTATATTAAGCATTTCAATAGTTATGGTTACAAAACACAGTATAAAACACCGGTGTCTTTTTCTGAGTTAAAAGTATTATCTGCCAAACAATAATTTTTTGAAATTTGCGATTATTTGCAGTTACTTAGATCTAAAAGAAACAGTTATTCATCATTTGAAGTTACTTTAATTTTTAAAATCAATTATTGAAAAGAAATTTGAATCTGAATAAAAAAAAATTTCAAGATACATTCTTTGGATATATTTTAGTACAAATACGATTCCGATACGCTTGCAGAGTTTTTTAGTAGCTATTGACTGCTTTCTATTAAAAAAATTCCATAATTTATTTTTTCTTGTAATTAGAGCGTCAAGGAAAGATATAAAGAAGGGACACCAGTGTCCCATCTGCGTCAGAGGGTTCCTAAAATCTAATTCTAAAAAAAAATTCTTTTGCTTTAGGAAAAAAATGAATGCTTCTTTTTATTAGGTACGTACAAATGATGTCACCAGGCAGAATTATAGACTTACTAAAAACGTTATAATTTTAATTTATTTTAAATTGTTGTTGAAGTTAAAGTTTAGCACTTAAAGTTTAGATTTGTCTTAGGCTCCCCAGACTCATCCACTTTGGGAATTTTTCATCAGTTTCTATTTTAATATTTAAAACTGTAGAAACCGAAATTATTCTTTTATTTTCTATTATTGAATTCATACATTTAATTCGAAATGAATTTTGACCTTCACAAAGCATAAATTAATTAAACATTTACTAATATATGCATGACAATCGTATGATGATGGGCTGAGGTTCTAAAAAAATCAAGAGATATTTCTACTCTTAACTATAATTTTATGTAGTTGTTTTTAATGACACTTGGACAAGGCAAGCATGCCAGCCATTGGCCTTGAGGAATTATGTCATAAAGGGTCGTCCTTCGTTTGACAAGACAGCCCAGCTAGGGTGAACGTACCTTTTAGCTCAGAATTTCCCGGATAGATGGCAGCACCATTCATTCATAATAGAACTTCTGCAATTTTTTAATGGAGCTGTAGAAGAAGGAAATTTCTCCAGATCCCTATACCCATGGTATAGTTCAGCGTCCTTCAGAATATTTGATTTCACAGATTTTACAAGCACGTACATCGCAGATACCCGGGCCTTAACGAAGTCGGTGTTCAAACCCAACGCCTCCTATAACTGAAAGCCTCCACACGGTTTTTTATACGTAGTCCGATCAGACCACTGTAAAGAATATCCATATTTCCGAACGAGTCATTTAATACAAAATTTAGTTAAAATAAGAAAGTGGTAGCAAATATATGACAGAAAATTTGTTTTATTTATGAATATTATTGGTTGGTTTGCCTTATTCACTTGACAACCACTACAGATTCAATTCTCAAATATCTATGATAAATTTCTCTCAATTACTTTTATAAAAGGTTTTGGGTTCATTTGCACAACTGGTTCACTTTTTAAGCAGTCTGCGCGGACTACTTATAAAAGACCGAGTGGAGGCTTTTTGATGTAGGAGGAGATGTCAAACTCCAGTCCCTGGACCGTAATCCAATTCTCTAAACACTAGGCTACCACGGTCCTGTAATTAAATTACCATCTCATGACCACTTGGAAAACTCATAGTCGAAAAAAGTAAATTTCGGAAGATGTGAGCTCCCACCTTTTGAGAACTGCTCTATACCAACTACATAGCGTCCAATTCCCGAAAGATTTAATTTTCATCCTTAAAGTGGTAGCAAAACTCATGTTGTTCCATTAAACTCTTCTAATTATTTTAATATTTGAACTAATTTAAA